TTTTTTCTTTTTGCTTATGTGGTGCTGAGGAATTGAACCCAGGGCCTCAGGCATGCAAGGCAAGCGCTCTACCACTGAGCCACCTTCCCAGCCCCTACTAGTGTCTTATACATGTGTTACACCTTACAATTTTACAATCCTATTTTGATCTTCATGATTATCCCAAATAAAAGTAAATTTATAGAGACTGAACACCTAAGTTTGCCCAGGGCCACGTGACTAATGGGTACTGTAGTCAGTGATACCATTCTCTCTCATGCAGATGCCTTCCATCCCAGCGCATGTGTGCACGCACACGCACACACACACACACACACACACACACACAAACCACACACCAGGAGCAGCCAGGGATCTGTGATCAACTTGGCATTTTATTTCCAGATCATCTGGCTATTAAACCAGTAAAGTTCCCAAGGGTAAATTTCTTTGTCACAAGTGTCCTCAGCCTATGAACCTACCTACGCAGTAGGCTGAGATCTGAGGATTGCATTTGAAGCCAGCCAGGATGGAAATATCCATGAGACTCTACTTTCCAGTTAACCAGCAAAAAGCTAGAAGTGGCGAAGCACTGGTGGCTCACAACTACAATCCTAGCTACTCAGGAGGCAGAGATATGAGGATCTTGGTTCAAAGCCAGCCAGAGTAGGAACATCTGTGAGACTTTTATCTTCAATTAGCTATCAGAATACCAGAGTGGAACTGTGTTTCACAGTGGTAGAGCAATAGCCTTGAGCAAAAATTGCCCAGATCTTGAGTTCAAGTCCCCCAACTGACCCAAAAAAAGCTAGAAGTGGAGGTGTGGCTCAAGTGGTAGAGCACCAGACTTGAGTGATAAAGCAAGAGAGACTGCAAGGCCCTGAGTTCAAGATTCAGTATTGGCATGCACATACACACATAAAGTATCCTTAGTATAAGTGATGTCAAAGCACTAGTAAAAAGATACAACCAAAACTTGTTCTCTTATAACAACAAAACTAAAACATAAACACAAGACACTAGAAAGAATTTCATCTTCTTTTTTTTTGCCAGTCATGGGGCTTGAAATCTGGGCCTGGGCACTGCTCCTCAGCTCTTCAGCTCAAGGCTAGCACTCTACCACTTGAGCCACAGTGCCATTTCCGGCTTTTTCAGCTTATGCGGTGCTGAGGAATCGAACCCAGGACCTCATGTGCATGCAAAGCAAGCACTCTACCACTGAGCCACCTTCCCAGCCCAGTATCATTTGTTAGTCAGGATTTATCACTGGAGCTGGCAAAAGTCAAGAGGCAGTCTCAGAAAGGTAGTCTCAGGTACTCTCCTTGAGCTCTTCAGCTCAAGGTGAGCGAGCACTCTACCACTTGAGCCACTACGCCACTTCTAGTTTGCTGGTGGTTAATTGGAGATAAGAGTCTCCTGGCCTTTCCTACACAGGCTGGCCTTGAACCATAATCCTCAGATCTCAGCCTCCTGAGTAGCTAGGATTACAGGAGTGAGCCTCTGGCGCCCCGCTGAATTTCATCTTCCTTACATTCATTTATTCTATTTTATCTCAGTTTCATATTGGCAAATTGTTTTCTGCATAGGAATCCATCTGGCATTTAATAGAATTTCCTCTATTTTATTTTTTAAGGTATGCTTTTATACTTTAAATATACAAGATTTTTATCATTAATTATAAGTGGATATTTCTCTTCTTGACCCAATCAAAAGCATTTCTAACATTTTTCTTTACTTTTCTTTTTAATTTTTAGTTTCTTGGATGCCAGATTCCTTACTCATGTGCGCAACTGACTTGTTCAGCTGTCAGTTGCATTTTAAAACTTGAGAATTCAGATATAAGTTCCAAGAAACCATGAGAGAGTAGAGTACCAGAAAACCCCAGAATAAACATAAATGCTTGATTTATAAAGCATCAATTATATCCTAACATGGTTCAAATCAGTAGCACTAATAGCACCATAAAGTATTTTTAAAAATACTTTTCTGAAATATGTTTATGACTGTGTTGTTGTTTCATTTTTGTTTACTTTTCATTTGGTTTGGTTTACCTTTTATTTAAGTCCATTTTTCTTTTTTTGCTATTTAGCACAGGCTGGTCTTGAAGCTGTAATTCTACTGTAGCCTCCTTAATGCTGGGATTACAGGTATGTATAACCATGCCCAGTTGTAAATTGTTGTTTAAGATAACATTCAAAATTCTCAAGGCTTTAGTACCTGCCATTAAAATACACCCATCTTACAAAGTCAGATTAGATGTAAAGTCTATAATACCAAAATAACATACAGTTATCTGTAGTCATGACAAGTCTATATGATTCTTTCTCTGGGCTGTTCCTAATAAAGCTTGTAATAAAGCCAAGTCTATGTCAAATAATAAATATACATTATCTGTACTTAAAGGAAGATCTGAAAAGAAGTACCCTAAACATAATATAAGTTGCTACAGAATGTTTGGTTTCTAGAGAAGCAGAGCTTAAACAAACCATTATAATGTGCTGACACTTATTTTCAGCTGTGTTGAAAAGTTTCACACTGTGATATATGTGTGTATACATATATGTATACATCTATGTGCAATTGGAGGAACAGTTAGACTGCTGGTCTCTGTGTAGCTTGGTAGGCTGGCATTTTATAGATGCAGAGTAAAAACGTCCAATCATGAGGCGTTCGGAGCACCATTGTGTATATTGTCTCTAGCGTCTGAGTGTTAAAACTCAATGCTTCGTAAAATTATTGAAAGAACTCACCTGTGGCAGACACCAGGACACAGGGCCACAGAGGAGACATCGCACTTGCCAATTGTTCTTCGGCAGCTACCAAAGAAGAAAAGTGAGCGCTCTTCTACCAGATGCAATGCTGCTCAACTCTTCATGCCAGAGTTCCTCTCCACTCTGTTCGTCTGTCCGTTTGTTCTAGCCTTACTTACCAGTGTGGTCTTAAAAACCATCCCAATTAGGCCAGCACCGCACAAAGGTTGTGGAATTAATGTCATCACAAAACTCCTTAAATGTCTCTAACTTGGTTCTGCCCTGGGATTAGATGCTGGCCAACAATTCCATCTCCCTGACAGGAGATAGCTAAGTAAATAATGTAATACAAGTGGAGCCCCTAAGGAGAGGAAATTTCACACTAATATGATTTCCTTTACAGCTTTTACCTAAGGCAATGCTCTTGCTGACATTCAGGACACTAATTTCATTAATAATTGAGATCTAAATAGCCGTCTTAAACCAGGCTCAGGCAGTAACATCTTCAGCATTTGGAAATGGTCATTAGACTCTCAAATTACAGAAAGCTAATGGGAACTTGGTATCGTCTAATAAAGAGCAAGCACAAACAATACAATGGAAAAGGTGCCTTTGGTTTATTCCCAAGCACTTTTAATTAACAGAAACATTGATTTTTTTTTTATAAATAGGAGTGTTTCTTCAAATTTTACTGACCCCCACCCCTTCCAATTATTGAACATAGAACTACTGAAGTTTAACATCATTCAAGAAACATTTTTTTGGACCAGGCACCAGGGATTCATGCCTGTAATCCTAGCTATTTGGGAGGCTGTGAATCTGAGGATTGTGGTTCAAATTCAGACCAAGGAGGAAAGTCTGTAAGACTCTTATCTTCAATTTAACGCCCCCCCCTCCACACACGCACACACACAGGAGTAGACTTGTGGCTCAAATGGTAGAGTTTCAGCCTTGAGTGAAAGAGCTAAAGGACAGAGCTAGCCCTGAGATCAAGCCCCAGTACCAGCAAATACAAAACAAAAAGGGTTTTATTGTTTTTTGATTAGGTACTGATACTATCTTTATTACTAAGGCTAAATATGGATAATTCTGTGTAATCATTCTACCTTCCATAGGCGATTCTATAGGTGCTCTAGAAACGAAACCCGAATTTCATTCCATTTCCAACATCTGCCTGCTTTTTATTGTAAGTGGAATTGTGGAGGCACAGATTTGAGCTAAAACTTTTACAGAGCAAAATGAGGGTTGGGAGAAGCGCATATTGGATTCTTATTCTCCTAATTACTCAGTTCCTTTGTTTAGAATTCATGAAATTCTCTACATAATTTTCATCTACCCATAAAATAGAGGTTGGCTGATTTTCTGCTGTGGAGGAAAAGAGTTACAAATATGAGAAAGAGAAAATGAGAATTAATTCTATAGGTAAATATAAATAAATATATATATATAAATAGATAGATGATAGATGATAGATGGCTAGTTGATGGATGGATGGATGATAGAGGATAGACAGATAGATAATGATCAACATCACATTCTAGCCATGCATTTGAGCAAGACAGGACTCTTAAGTCAAATCTTCTGGACATAGTTCCCCTCCCTTTCCTTCCCACGGTCTCAAATGCCCATCTGTTACTGGAAGGCCATTACTAATGATGTGTAATACAGGTACATTGCGACCTTCATTAGCTAATTTAACAACAGTCTAGTGATCCTACCCATTATAGCACTTGGTTAATGACTCCTTCCAGGATGGGCGAGGTTTTGTGTAGGTGACTTCTCCTCAAAATAGTTCACAGTCAGATGCATTGTGGCCAAAATCCCTTCTTTCAGGGTCAGAGCTCTCATTTCCACCGCCGTCTTGCTTGGGGTTAGTTGATTTACTCAGTGCTTTTAGATTCAGTGTCATTTGTCACCCCAGCCTTAATTTTTCATGAAAATGGTCTCTTACTTACCTTCAATATAGCACTTCTTGTCTAGAGAGAGTGTAGTACACACACTCTAGCTGATCATTCCTCTTGCGTAACTTTCTAGGATGCCTGATCGATGAGGGAGTGATTCTCTTTCAGGCTTTTCAAGTCCATCAGTCTATTTATGAGGAAAACCTGAAGTCACGAGGGGGCTGTTCATTCAGGCTCGTTGAGGATCAACATTCAGGCAAAATAAACAAAGAGTAGGGGTGGGGCATGGTGCCAGTGGTAGAGTGCTTCCTACCTAGCAAAAGGAGGCCTTGAATGCAAGCCTGAGTACCACCAAAGTAAACAAACCTCGTCTGAGATTTGAATGTGCCATTCTAACTCCTAGCAGCCTGGTCCAGACCTACGATTAAGAGATGACCTAAAAAGGTTATTTCTTCTGGTCTTCCCCCTCCACAGTTCCCTGAGTCTTTGTACTATGTTTCTCCATCATTTCCAAGGAAAACTACAGCACCTCTTTGATGGACAAATATCTTTTGGAAGAAGCAAGGGTGGGAGTTTATTATACAAACATAATATGGAAGCGTTTATTATGCAAACAGCAACTGAGTTATGTGTCCTTTAAGACTACTAAATAGTTTTTAATTACTGCTATATCAGTTAATCCCATAAATATGCAAATGCAATTAGTTCACAAAATAGGCCTTAAATATCTTTATTCCTCTCCAACAAAGTTCTTTGAAGTTAATCGCTTAACTCTCTTTGTTCACTCCCTTGGCAGTGTGCTAAAATTGACAGGAATTTTGACAAATGTACATATTCAGGGAGAACCAAATTTTCTGTGCACATCTGGTCAGGCTGAAAGAAAACAAGAAAGGCAGAAATGGATACTTCAGCCAAGCTCAAACATTTAATGAATGGGGTCTTATATGTAATTTCTGTTACTTCAAGGCATTGTCCTTGGAATTCAATATCAAGTTAACCACTGAGACGGCACTTCAAGTCCAAATCCATACCCAACAGTTGCTTTTCCTCTGACTCAGAATTTCATGTTTAATAACACCAATGTATACTTCCTAGTCCCGAATGAATGAATGAATGAATGAATGAATGAATGAATGAAGTTTTCCATATCTCCAGCCCTGCTCTTTGTCTGTCATGGCTTCCTATAGGAAGCAGTAGACCATAGAAGCTTAGATCCCAGGGCCTAGAATCAGATATACTCTATGCCTCTTGGCTCTATCACTTGGCTAGACACTTGTAGTGGCCAATTGATTATTTCTAAGCCCTAGTTTTTACATTTGTAATGGCAGTTTAAAAAGTATGGGGTAGGTTTTGTATGGCTGTGTAACAAATTACTACAAACAGTAACTTAAGACAAAACTCATAAGCCAGGTGCTGGTGGCTCACACCTGTAATCCTAGCTACAAGGAAGCTGAGATTTGAGGATCACAGTTCAAAGCCAGACCAGATAGGAAAGTCTGTGAGGCTCTTCTCTCCAATGAACCACTAGAAAACTATCAGTGGAGCTGTGGGTCAAAGTGGTAGAGCACAAGCCTTAAGCAAGAAAGCTCAAGGAGGGCTGGGAAGTTGGCTCAGTGGTAGAGTGCTTGCCTTGCATGCATGAGGCCCTGGGTTCGATTCCTCAGCACCACATAAGCAGAAAAAAGCCAGAAATGTCGCTGTGGCTCAAGTGGTAGAGCGCAAGCCTTGAGCTGAAGAGCTGAGGGACAGCACCCAGGCCCAGAGTTCAAAACCCCACGACTGGACCAAAAAAAAAAAAAAAAGAAAGCTCAAGGACAGCACCCAGGCCCTGAGTTCAAGCCCCTATGGCCAACAACAACAGAACTCATTTACTAGCTCCATTCCGTAGTCAGCTGTCCAGGCACAGGTAGATTGAGACCAAAACCATGGGGAGGACTGAAGTTGGTGTACATCATTTTCCAAATCTGTTGGGTGATAGCAAATTAGTGGCTTAAAATCAGTTACAATGAAGGCATTGGTTGCATGAGAACCATACAAATCAAGGCAACTCCTGGTTACCACCCATGTAGCACACCTAGCCGTATACATTGCCTTGACTGAGCCCTTGTAAGCTTCTATCTCCACAGGCGTTCGAGAATGTTGTATTTGTCCACTGTTGCATCTCTTCTACAATTCTGCAAACACGGTGAAGGTCTACAGCACAGTCATCTGGTTTCCAACCCACAGCCTGACACCTAGTGAATAATTAAATGTCTCATTCATTAACTGTTTCCGGATAGACAGAAGAGCTAACAAATAAGCAGAAATGGATTTGTGTAGATACAAGAAAGGGGAGAACTCAGAGGCTCCCCCTTTCTCACAACCATATCCAAGGTGCTCTCCCTTCCCAACCACCCCACGAAGGTGAGAATGATGGTTTGCATTCAGAGTAAGATTACTTTGAGTTGGTCGGCTGCAGAGTCTTTGGTTCTCCCAGAAAATCTGGTGTTCAGGAATCTCATAATTCCTGAGAGTCAGATGTCCCCAAAAAAACTACAGGAAGAGAGAACTTAGAAGGAACGTGGAAGAACATAAATAGTTGTTGCTTCTATTTCTACAAACGTTTTGACTACATTGGCAGATGGTCTTAGCAAGCCATACCATGCAAACAAGGGTTGTAAAGTCTTGCTGCCTGAGCACAAGGGACTCTCTCCTGATTTGTGGCTCCCCGTCAAGCCTAGTAGTTTTCCATTTTGACCAACTTTGGAGTTTTCTGTGAAGGAGCCCAGATATGGTCATCCAAACAACCAGTTGGATATTTGGATTCAGGATCCAATTTCTGGGTATTTCCGTCTATGCTGTGGGCTCAACAAGGTCTTCGATCATTTGCAACTTGTGTGTATTTGTCTCTTCAACCATTCCCTATGAGAGGAACTGTGGTAGACACTGAAGATGTAAAGAGAAGGAAGCTCAAGTGTTACCAAACACAACACATGAGAAAAAGATAAAGTGTCCACAGATGGATGAAGAACTGGAGAAGATGGGATAGAAAGAGGAGCCCCAATTTGGAGTGGGAGTAGAGAGAGCCTTTTTGTAAATGGCATGGGTGCTGAATAGTTAGCTTGGTAGGGAGAGGGAAATGGAGGTCCTCACAGGAGAA